AGTTTATCCATACCCAATATTCTTATTTCTGAAACTAGTCAGTCACCAGAATACACTGACAGCTAGTATGTGCCTAGCACTCGGAAGGCATAGTGGGAGATGTGAAAAAATGAAATACAAATGAGAAATAATATGAAAGTAGATATAAAAATAGAAAATACAAAAGAAGAAATAATGATTGTGTTTATGTATTACTATTTGTTATGGGCTGAGTCGTGTACCCGCAAGTTCCTACGCTGAAGTCCTAACTCCCTCCCTCAGGATGTGACTATTTGGAGAGAGAGTGTTTAAGGGGATGATAAGGTTAAATGAGGTCGTTGGATGGGCCCTAACCCAATCTGACTGGTGTCTTTATAAGAAGAGGAGATTAGGACACAGGCACCCACAGAGGGAAGGCCAGGGGAGGACTCGGGGAGGCCTCGGAGGGAAACCCTGCTGGCACCTGCAGCTTGAACTTCCAGCCTCCAGAAGCGTGGGAAAATATGTGTGTGTTGTTGAAGCCGCCCAGTCTGTGGTATCTGTCATGGCAGCCTCATATACCATCCATTTATGGAGTCCTTTCTAATTCCTTAACACAGCCTTGCGAGGGAGTTGTTGTTCTCCCTGTTCATAGTTGAGAAAATGGAGGCTCAGAGGACTTGAGTCACTTACCCAAGGCCACACAGCTGAAAAGTGCTGGGCAAACCTAGGACCTGGACTTCAAACCCCAGGCACTTATTTCCCAGTTCCCCCCCGAGGGGGTGAGGAGCGTGAACGTAAACAAAGAAAAATCATAGCAACAGACAGAACCTATCGCAGAGGACTGGGTTAGAGAACCTGTCTCAGAGGACAGGGGAAACCCAGGGAAGGGTGTTAGAGGTTGCAGAGGGTGGTCTTGGAGGCCTTTCTTTAAGGGGCTATAATAAAATAATACGAGCTAACACTCCTATTTCCCTGAAGACAGGCACTGTGATAAATGTCTCACATGTATTATTTCATCTAAACATCAAAATAAGCTTATAATGTGTGTATTATTAGTATGCCCATTTTATGGATGAAGAAACTGAGGCCCAGGGAAGTCAAGCAGAGGGCCCACAGTCATACATCCTGGAAAGGGGCTTCAGGTCTCTCCGACCCTGAAGATCTTGCTGTTTATCATTTTACAATAAATGCAAGTGTGGGTATGCTGGCTCGGGAAGATAGCACAAACTCCATCACAGGGAAGAAGGCATCTGGGGTCCAAGCCTGGGGCCCACTCCTCAGGAGAGCCCTGCGTGAGGGGCAGCAATCATATGCTCCAGGTGCCTCAGGCCTAGGCCCCTTCCCAACACGCTCCCTGTGCAAATCACGGTTGGGAGAATACAGCCTCCACAGCATGACTAGCCTCCCCTCCCATTCCTCAGACACGTTCTCAGAGGAGGAAATGTTGCTCCTCCCCCACCACCCCCGCCCCGCCAGCCCATTCATGTTCTGTCTCTGTTTCTTTCTGTTTTTTTCTCTCCATCTCTTTCTCTGTCCTTATCTCTCTGTCCCTCTCTGTCTCTCTGCCTCCGTCTCTGTCTTTCGGTCCCTGTCTCTCTTTGTCTTGCTCTCTCTCTCTCTCTCTCCACACCTTCTCACACTTTATTCTCTGGCTGGGAATTGAAAGGCTTCTTGTCCTTTATAATGTCACTTATGCACCTAACAAAAACCACCAGGACATGGTCGCAGTTCTGACCACCACTGAGGCAAGGGCGTCTCCTGGCGGGGAAAAGCCTCACTGGTCCTTCAAGCTCCAGCGTCACCTTCCCCTGGAAACCCCCCTGGGAAGCGGGAGGTGGAGAAGATGTGCCTGCCTTGCCTGACAACGTGTCATTGAGAATGCGCCAGATTTCTTTTCTAGTTTCTGCAGGCTGTCACCTGTATATCAGAGCTGGAAAGAGCCATAGGCATGAGCCGGTCTTGCAGTCCCAGGACCAAAGAGTCAGACTGGCCCCTGGCTGCTTGCAGCCAGCCCCGCTGGGAAGGGCTCATCCAAACCCCACAGAACTAGCCCAGTGGTTCCCAATCCTGGACGAACATGAGCCGGCTGAGGACATTTAAAATGTGCTGATGGCCAGGCCCCACCTCGAATCTTGGCCCCGGTATTTTTAATGCGCCCCTACCCCTGACACTGTCCTCCCCCTGCTCCATTTCCACCCCACAGTGACTGTACATGCATCGGGGACTGAGAACCAAGGGTCTGAAATCACGCAAGGTGCTTAGGAATGATGGAGCTTCCAGCTCCCGTCTTGGACCTGCGGGGATTGGCATCTCAGGTAGGGAAGTCCGGTTGCATGTGTTTTAAAACAGCTGAGGTGATTTTCACGAACAGTGAGATTGGCCAAACACTGGGTGACTCCCTTCACCTTCACGGGAAGATGGTGGGGTCCAGAGAGGTGGCAAGCAAGCCCCAGGCCTTCTAGCTCTTGGACAGCAGGGCCCACTTCAGGGAGGCCTTGGGAGGCAGGGAGGTGGCGCTCAGGCCTGAGGTCTGGGCTGCGAAGCTGGCAGGAGGGGCTCATTCCACATCATATGGGTATGGTCCCTTCCAAGCCCTACCTCTGAAGGCACCCATAGGTCCTCTCGGGGCCCTTCCCATCCATAAGCACCCCTACTCAGATTTGTGTCTGTCTGATGCACCCACCCGCTGCAGGTTCAGCTGGCTCTCTGATGTCCTGCATTCCAGCTTAGCTTCCACTAGTTGCGCTCCCTCGCCCCAGGTTCTGGGCCAGGCAGCGCCCATTCTTAGAGATTCTAGGGAGACAGAATGTGTGTGCTCAGTCCCTGGGAGTTGGGGGAGGCTGAGTGAAATTTTTTTTTTCCTGAGAGACTTAACAGCCACCTCCCCAAAAGAGCCCTCGGTTCCAGGGGGAGGTCCAAGGCAAATTCTCCGGAGTCCCTGGGGGCCCTCTACCTCCAGCATCCTGAGCTCCCTGGGGGACATCTGCCCCAGCCCCATTCGGACCACCCCCCCCACCCCACCCCACCCCCAATATTCACTTGGGAACTGCTCAGGGACCTGTCTATTCTGAGAATGCTGTGCTCTCTACACAGCACTTACGGCAGTGGCTGAAGGCAGAGGACAGGTTCAAATCCATGGTCCAGTACTGGCTGGCTGACAGCCTCTGAGCAAGACTGGTGGTGTGGGGCCTCTGCCAATTTCCTCATTTATGGAAAAGATCAGAGGTGTAATAATAACGGTGATGCCTCCCTCCCTCCCTCTTTCTCAGGGTTCTCTGAGAATCCGACTATGGGAAGTAGTCTAAAACTAGCAAGTACCCTACAGACACATGTTCTTTGCTCAGTCCTCTGTTCACTTGCACAGGTGACCCCTCTAGTGAGGCCTACCCAGCCCAGCACCCCCTCCTACTCTGCTGCCACAGGCCCACAGCTCTGCTGGGTCCACATCCCCATGATGTGCGGCATGATCTTGGGAACGCCAGGGAAGCTCTTTGTGTCTCAGTTTCTCTCTCTCTACATGGGATGGCAATAATCATACCTCCCTGGATTGTCACGGGATCAGAGGAGTCCCTACGTGGCAAGTTGGTGACCAGAGGGTCAGAGGGGGTAAGGGAGGGATGAATAGGTTGAGCACAAGGGATTTGGAGAGCACTGAGACTATCCTGTGTGATAGCGTGATGGTGAAGACATGTCATTACACATTTGTCCAAACCCAGGGGAGAATGCATGTAACATACAGAGTGAGTCCTAATGGAAGCTATGAAGTTAGTTAATAATAATCTGTTAAAATTGGCTAATCATTTGTAACAAATGTACCATATTTTTGCAAGCTGTTAGTAATGGAAATGGAAAGTCAGGGGTGAGGGATAAATGGGTTTCCCTGTACTTTCTGCTTATTTTTCTGTAACTGCTAAAAAGAAAAATCATTAGTATAAGCAAAACAAAAAAAGATGACGAACGGGAAGCTTCCGTGAGCAGTACGGAGCGTCGAATGTTGCTCGGTGTTAGCATCCCATCGTCATCTGCTCACTGTTCATGCATCTGGTGTGTCTGGGACTCGAGCACAGGGCGCTTGTTCATTGCCTGTGTGCACATCTCCAAGAAGCGCGGCTCCTACTCTGGGTTCTAGCGCTCTGCTGAACCGAGGATCCCGGGACTCATTTCGGGAGGCCATAGATTTCTGAGGTCAGGGCGCCACCTGCCGGCCCTGCTCAAAGGCGCTGACAGTTGTCCTGGTCCGCGCAGTTGTCCTGGGGCTGGGGACTTGGTCTCCACGGAAATCCACTGTCATTCTCGAGTCCCTAGCGGAGCCACTCATGCGTCCATGAACGTCATGGGTGCAATGACCAGGCTTGTCACCAGTAACAACAAGGAAAAGGTCAGAGCTCGTGACTTTATTACAGAAAAGTCCCAAAGCACTGGAGCTCAGTCTACGTCAGGGATCCCCTCTCAGAGCCGAAGCGGGTGGACGCTTTTCGGAGCCGACTTCTGGAAGGAGTTACTGGGGTGGGCTAAAGGGAGCCTCAGGTGGGAGGCGGTGCGCGCAGGCTGGGGCAAGGCATTCCCGGTCACCTGCGCCCACACAGGGGAGCCTTATATGACAAACACTTAAGACCTTGTGTGCCTGGCGTGTGCTGGACACTGCTCTGAACATCTTTCCGGGGTAACTACAGTAACCCTTACTAGGAATCTATGTGGTAGGTACTATACCTGCTCTTCCTGTTGTACAAAGGAGGAAGTGGAGGCACCTAGAGGCCCTGTAACTTGCCCAAGGATCCACAGTCCCAGAAGGGTGGGACTGCGATTGGATCCCGCTGAGTCCACGCCCTGGACCACCCGCCAGCTGCCTCCAGTTTCCTTTTCTAAATGAAGGGCGTACCAGTCCCTCCCAGCCTCTCCAGTCTGTTTGGGGCTGGAATAAGGGCTGCGAGGTGAGCAGGCTCGCCTGTTCTGCGGGTCGGACCCCAGGTGCACCCCATCCGGGAGCTGTGATGCTGAGATCCGGGAGCTCCGCGGCGCTGGCGCATCCCACAGCCGGTCTAGGGCTGCAGCTCGTACTGCCCCTCTGTGGCAGTGTTGAAGTCCTCGAGCACCGACTGCAGGAACTCGAAGGTGGGCCGCTCTTCGGGCCGGCTCCGCCAGCACTCAGCGATAACGCCGTGGTACAGCTCCGGCGGGCACGAGTCCGGGCGCGGCATGCGGTAGCCCCGCTCCAAGTTGCGGATGACCTCGGGGTTGCTCATCCCTGGAGGCAGAGGGAACGCGCTGACCGGCTGCAGGGCGCCGGTGAGGCACAGACCACTGTCTCCTCCCTCGCAGGTAACCCGGCGACCCGCCTGGTGCCACCTTTACATTCCCTTTATTTACTTTTCATTGCCTGGAGAACCTCAGGGAGCGAGGCTGTAGATTTTCTCCTTGGTACGAGCAGTTCCTTCATGGATGGGACCCCATCCGTCTTAGCTGTGATTGCCCGGCACACAGCTGAAACCCATCGCTCCCTGGGCAGGGGCTCCGCGGAAACGCACCGCCCGCTTGCTAGGAAAAACTGCTCGGCTGCCGGAGCCCTTCTTACATGGGGCTGGGGGGGTTCACAATCAGGGTGGGCCTTTGGGGGGTACACCCAAAGTGTAAGGCCAAGGAACTGAGATGGAGAACAAACCAATTGGGAGTAAACGACTCCGGACCCTGACCTTCACTTAACCCCAGGCCTGGGAGCCGACTGACCCCTACTGGAGGAAGGGACACGGCCCTGTTGACAAGAACAGCGTTGAGGAAGAGGGCAGAACCCCTGCCCTCAGACTGGTGCCCCTGGGTTTCTGTCCCCACCATAGAGACGCCATTCTGACGCATATTTGGGCAGTCCCGGGCACAAGGAGGGGGGTATCTGCCATCACAGCCATCCCCGGGCAGCCGGGAACCGCGAGTCGCTGCAGGACAAAGCTGCCTACCTGGGTAGGGTACCCGCCCATACGTGATGATTTCCATCAGGAGGATGCCAAATGACCACACGTCTGCTTTGATGGTGAACACCCCGAAATGGATGGCCTCTGGGGCAGTCCACTTGATGGGGAACTTGGCCCCTGCGGGAAAAGCCATGAGCAGCTCTGTGAGGCCCTGACGGACTGACCCCACATACCCACTCCCACTCCCCCTCTTCGGGGTCCCCTCACCCCACAGCCCTTCTCAGGGCCTGGCCTGCCCTGCGGGACAGATTCATCCAGGAAGTCACTGACAGCCACTAGAACACATGACTACAGATGGGTACAGGTATCACCCCCGTCGCCCTGTTTGTGGGCTGCCCTGGGCAACCACCGCATGCGTCCATCTGGACAGAGGTGGCCCCTTCCATCTGACCTGGCCTTGCTAATAACAGGAACTCACGGCTTGGGCAAGTCGCTTGAACTTGTCCCTGCCTCGGTTAATCCTTTCTTGCCAAATGGAAATGATGACACTTGGCTTATGTATTTGTGAGGGTCGCAGTGAGGAGGGAATTCAAACCCCGCTGCCCCATGAAGCCCTGCAGGAGGCTGCCGTCCAGTCAGCATTCAGAGCCGAGGGCATCGCTCGGCACCTGAGTCACTCCCCACCGCGCCTGGCTTTCCCAGCCTCCCCGCCAGCCTGCAGTTCCCTCAGGAAATCAGCCATATCGATCCTTCTCTGCATCCACTGATTAACATGCTCAGCTGAGATGGCTTGTGAGCTTGCTTGATAAATGTATGTGACCACTTCAATTCCTCTTGTAAAGAGGAGTTTTACTTCAGTTATACTAACAGAATAACCCCGAGGGCTCTGTGGAAACCTGATTCAGGTATAAGATTTTGCTGCTTAAGCTTCAGAGCAGTGTTTGCTAAAGTGTGTCCCTTGAAACCCTGGTTCTTAGAAAGTTTATAGATGATAAGTGGGACAGTATTTTGGGCTCAAATTAGTTTGGGGGACACTAGATGAAGCAAATGTTCAGTTTCTTTGCTGTAGGACTTCTCAAGGCCTTCAACATGCTGGTGTGCTTTAGAGGCCACCAAGGGGGTGCTAGGTGGACTTTGCAGTATTTCCAAACCTACTTCATCGCCCAACCATTCTTCAGGAGGCACTAGCGCCCTGAGGAGCACAGTTAGGGAACTGCTGACCTGCCCAGGGTGGCGGGGGTGGGGGTGTGTGGGCCAGAACCGTGGAAACACCACAGCTCTCTGAGTGTTCACACAGGGTTCTGTCATGTAGTGACAAGGACAAGTCCAAGGGGGGTTGGGAGTTGGGGAAGGTAAGGCCCAAGGTCTCCCTGTGGTTGGGAGTCTCTGCTCACCCTCTTGGGCAGTGTATTCATTGTCGATGATCCGGGCCAAGCCAAAGTCACCGATTTTGCAGCCCAACGTCTCAGACACCAGGATGTTGGCCGCCCTGAGGTCTCGGTGGATTGAATTCATTTTTTCGATATATGCCATTCCTTCGGCAACCTGAGGGAACAGGCCACACAGGGAAGCACAGTGTGGGGACCTCCATGTGAGGACTGAGCCCATCCAGGGTCCCCTACACAGCCCCTTTGAAGGAGAGGAAGGACCCGGCCCACCCTCACCACCACCCGGTCTGTAGAAGCAGCCTTCATCCTCTTGCGGCCCAGGAGGGGAAGGAACGCTTGTGCAGGCGTGTGTGTGGGGGGGGGGGGGGCGGGGGGAGTAGATGCATGGTGGGGGAGTTTGCTACTAGAGAAGGAGCAGATTCTGAATGGAGTAGAAAGATGGCTTCAAATGCTCCTCAGCTGAATAAGCTACACACCCCGGTCCCCTAAAAGCCCAGAAAGGCAGAGGCATCAGAGCTGTACCCCTTACCCACCTCTCCTCTCCTTCCAAGTGTCTGCCGGGGAGAAAGACAACAGAATGAAGGCAGGAGAAAAGGGAGGTCTCTTGAGAGGGAAGGAGGAGAAAAGGAGGGAGCAGGAAGGAGAGGGGAAGATGAGGGGAAGGAAGGGATTTTGTCTCCTTGGTCAGTTGGAAGCACTGTTTTTGGAGCAGGGTGCTCAGTTTGGAATCGTTGACACTGGCATGTTGCTTAAGCTCCCTGGATCGTGACTGAACTGATTGGAACAGGAGGAAAGGGGCCTCCAGAGCATGGAGTAGAGGTGAGCATTAAATGAGGCACGTGGCCAACAACCCAACCCAGCACTGCTCCATGGTGGGCCCTCAGGGAGCAGGGGCAGATCCCCACAGAAGAGGCACAGGAAAAGCGGAGAAGACTCTCTGTCTGTCCCCCATGGGCCTGGAACAGCTGTTTGTGCTGCTCTTGTGCCCTTTAGCCAAGGAAACTCACTCAGGCTTTATTCTCTGCACTCCCATTGACAGTCAAAGAACCTGAGGCAGAGACTAGAAAGCCAGTTTGTTGTCTCAGACCTGTGGTGGCAAGAAGCCAGCACTGGGATTGGTCCCATCTCGCACCTGTTTTCATTTGTATTAGTTTATCCAGGAATTCATTCATTCATTCATTCGTTCTTTTACGAATTCATTCCATCAACACGCATTTACTGGTATGGTGCTGTGGGGACCAGAAAGCTAAGCACCAAATATCTTATTCTGAACAGGATTTAGCAGTACTCATCCCATTTAAAAATATGGATTGAGCACTACTAGATATACCAAAAAAAAAAAAAAAAAGTTGAGTAGAACCCAGACCTGCTTTCAAAGAGAAGAATCTACCATGTACAATGCTAATGGGAACATATGAGTTAAGTGCTTTCTAGCACTTTTCTAGAAAACTTGACTTGGGTCATGAACATTAATTAGGATTCTTCCAGATGAGAAGAAAGTCAAAGGCATTCTGGGAAGAGAGGTAAAAGCTCACAGGACATTATGGAGCTGCCACGTGCCTGCAAAGTAGGCACCTTGGGTTCTGGCCAGATGTGAGCCTCGCATGTCATCCTGCAGAGCAGGAAAAGGAGCACTGGGTCGGGCGCCGAGTGTGCAGGAGTGAGTGTGCGCACACGCGGTGAGGCGCAGCACGTTCAGAGCATGGTTTAGAAACTCATCACCTGGGAGGTTCTGATTTTTGGTTTCTTAACCCTTAGCATCTTGACCACACACCCCGTATAAACTGAGGTGGCTTTTGACATCCTTTGCCCCTGGGTAACCCAAGTTTTACCTCTGGATTGAATACAAGACTGGAGAGAGTGAGAGGAGGAAAAGAAAGGAATTCACGGGTTTATCACTTACGTGGTTTGAAACTGGCTACCAGCTCTAATTTTCCGAGGCCACCCCACCAACCTCCTCAGCTGTCGGTGGAAAAGGGGTGTGGCCATCTGAGTTCCTGCACTGATGCTCCCAGCAGATAAGACCAGTGAGGTGGAGGCGGGGGAGGGTGCTGTGGGGTGAGGGGAGGGCTCCTTTCTGTAGCCGGATGTGTGCTTGTGTTTACGTCTCGCAGGTTGACCACAGATTTTCTGCTGGGAGCTCCAGTTTTAACAGACACATGCTCGGGGCCACCAGATGGGTTTCCTGTCAGCTAGGGCCCTCAGCTAAAATCTCTGGGGAGAACAGAATCCACCTCTCCAACTTCCTACCTCCTACAGAAGGCATTGGTGGGCACCATCTGAGGAAGAAATGAGGTCACCACAAAAGCACTTGCCTACCACGTTAAATGGAATTCATGCAAACTCTCTGGGTTTTCCACGCCACCCTCCATTCTCTCTTCCTTATTGATAGAACCCACCTCATCTCATCATGGCTGCCCCAAATAAGGACTACATTTCCCAAGCTCCCTTGCAGCTAGGTATGGCCAGGGGACTCTGGTCAGGAGGATATAAGAGCAAGTGTAGTGGGTGGCTTCAGGGACATGTCTCTAGGGAGGAAGGTGGACTTTCTGCCCCCTTTATTTCTTCCTGCTGACTGAGAAAAGGAAAAGATGGTGTAGCATGAGCATCCGCCCTGGGCAACCACATGATGTGCTAAGACACCCAGCAGGTGGAAAAAGCCTGGGTCCCTGTGACTTTGAGGGGCAGACCTATCTACCACCCGAGACTCCCCGCCTGTGGATGTTTATACATTTAAGCCATTATTACTGTGGGTTTCCTGTCTTTCACAGCCCAGCCTAAATCAGATAGATACAGCCTCCAAATAGCTGATTCTGTTAAGCCACAGGGCAGGGAGGAGAGGCCTGGGGGCCCCAGCCTCTGTGAGGGCAATGGTCCCCGGGCCCTGCTGCCCTTGGTGGCTCACAAACCTGGGCCGACATGTCGATCAGTCTTGGGAGGGACAGTCTGCTACCTTCATCTGTCTTCAAGAAATCCAGCAAGCATCCTAAGGAAGGAGAAGTTGCAGCTGCACTTTTGCAGATGCCCCTCCCTGGTCAGGCTCCCTCCCTGGCGATGCCAGCCCCCTCCAGGTGTGGCTGCTCCTCACCTGGGGCCAGAAGTAGGTGGTGCTCTGCTAGATCCCTTGCCCACAGAGAAGAAATCCACCCACAGCAGCAGGGTGCCTTCTGCCTCACAGAATTCCAGCCTTGACCTTCACAGCACCCAGGAGGCAGCTGATATGCTCCCAGCCACTCACAGGAAGTTAGGTTGCAGCCAGGTTCGGGGTCACAAACCAGGTAGCTTGGAGCAGAATCTACTCCCTGATTCTAACTTTAGGGCTCTTTCCTGGCATAATGTTCTTGACTCCTTTACCCTTTATTGGTAGAGATTGTGGCTCTGAGCACCAGAATGGAGAGAACTGTCCCCTGGGATTTGCTGCAGGGAACAAATGCAGGTCCTCTGTGGCATCTAAAAGCTGAGAGGGACATGTGCTTGAGGTGTGGTTAAAAGCTGTGCTTGAGCTGAGCAGCTCAATGGGGTCCCCCTTCATGGTGACATTTATGGAGCTATATTAGCATGGCACCTTAGACTCCTGCAGGAAGCAGCATGTGGTCAGCCCCACGGGAAGGGTAAGAAAGAGGTCAAAGACTGAGGCCGGACCCCAGGCTCACTGCCCCGTGAGGGCTTGGCCACACTGTGGACCTCAGAGGCCATCTCATCTAACCTCTCTTTTCACCGTGTGCTAAAAATGTTCATATGGTTGTAAAAGGTCTTGTGGCTGGGAAGTGGTAGGCCTAGGACTCGAACCATGTCTGGATGCCCAGCCTCCTGCTCTTCCAACTTGCCATGCTCTGTCCTCCCCAGCAGGTGTCAAAACAGTGCTGGGCACAGAAGACATCCTCCAAGTGTTCCCGAACTAAGGACACAGCTCTACAGAACGACTGACCTGTCTTGCTTCTCCCCTTCCTCCCTTCCCACCCCACGCATGTGGGACACCTAGATGCGCAGGACGTTGGCTACCCCATCCAGCCCATGGCACAGCGATCCCCTGCACAGGTCCCCTGGCCAGGCAAACCCACGGCAGCAGATGGGCCTCTGTCGTCTTGGCCCCTAAGCCTGTCCCGTCCCCCTGTGCCACCCGCCTCTGTCTGAGAGACAAAGGCCTCCATAGGGCACCACCTCTGGCCATGTACTCGGTCACGATGTAGATGGGCTCCTTGGTGACTACGGCATAGAGACGAACCAGCCTTTCATGCTGGAGAGTTTTCATCAGGTTGGCCTCGCCCAGGAAGGCCTCCGGAGACATGGTTCCCTCCTTCAAGGTCTTGATGGCCACCTTCATGTTATTTTTGTAATAACCTGAGGCAGGACAGGAGGTGGGGTGGGGGAGAGAATGCAGAAGCCATTCAGCAGAGGCTGTGGGAGGTGATCCCTTAACCATAATCTACATAAGCTTCCAGGAGCCATCCCTACGCTAGGTGTGCATGACTGAGGCTGGAGCTACCCGCTTAGGAGGAGGCCCTGGGCTGGAACGTGCAGCTCCTGCGGGTGATGGGTGCGCCAGCTTATCTTGCCAGCTGCCAGCCTGTCTCAGCCTCCCTCAGGAAGTTGAGGAACAATGTTCTATGCCTCCATCACCTCATCTGTGGAATGGGTATCATAGCCTATGTCCCTTCCTCCTCACAAGCCTTTCTGGGGAAGCAGGATGCACTGTGCAAACCCTGAGCCTTCTGTGCTTCAGGGTGCAGGGCAGGGAGAGGGAGTCTCCCAGCATGGCGCGTACTCACCCATCCAGACTTCGCCAAACTGTCCAGACCCAAGTTTCCTGACCAGCCTGAGAGACTGCCGGGGGATTTCCCATTCATCCTGGGCCCAGGGGTTCTGAGGAGCCAGGCTCACACAGGGTTGGGTTAGCTTGCGGCACAAGCCATCTCCTTTCTCTGCATTAGGGAAGAGGAGATGGGGCTGAGGTTAGCAGAGCAGCCAGACTGGCAGCTTTCCCAGCTGTGCCCCTCACCCCTTCTTGCTAGCCCCACGCACCCCCAAGTGCGTGTACGTACAGGTACACACATACACACTCAGCTCTTTTCACTTGTTTTGCATAAAGTAAGGCATGTTCTCATTGATCTGCTCTCTTTAAGACTGAAAATACTTGTTACTCTCCAGGTGCTCAAATGCTGATCCAGGAGGAGAGATTAGGTTCCCAGATTTTGAATCACTACGTTGACAGTTGTCAATTCCAAGGCAGCACCAATGATTCTCAACTTTGAGCTCTAGAGACAGACACAAGGGCGGCTCGGGCGCAAGCCCCCAGCCCCATCAAAGGCCCCTCTTACTTGAGTAGTGTTGCACCAAAGCCTGCAGAGTGGGGAAGGTGATTCGGGGGGAGATGTAATAGCCTCCTTCATCCAGGGAGCGGATCTTATAGTGTTTGATCACCTCCCCCTGGGTGGTCGAGTCCTTCACAGACAGGGAGAAGGCACCTAGAGGGTGAATAAAGACACATGCACGAGAAGTAAGGCGCAGGGAGGGAGAAGCAGGCTGGAATCGGGGTTTCCTTTCAATGCCTCGGGGAGAAGCTCCCTGGATTCTGCTCTCCCCTTTGACCACTGCCATGAGCTATCTTTTCCTTCAGCTCAACCCCAAGCCCCCTGGAAGCTTTCCCTCTCTGCCCCGTCTGACTCTGTTCTTGATGTTCTTCCCAGAGTCTCCCAAAACTCCTCCAGGGAACCACAGAGCTCTGGAGCAGGCAGGACAGTCTTTTAGGAATCACGACGTCCCTCTGCCAGGTCCCCGGTCACTCGGGGACCTTTTGCCATGGAATATTGAGAAATGTAGAGCTGTTGGGGGGACCGAAAGTTTGAGTGATTGATTCATACGTTCATTCTGGCCGAAAGGGCTGAGTACGACCCCGTGCAACACCAAATCTCAACATCAAGCACCCCTGTCCAGGGAGGAGACCGTAACCAGCTATTTCCCAGGGACTCTGTCCCCGTTCACACACGTGTCTGTGTGCTTTGCCACTTATGTTGATGTTTGCCTGCAGGTAAGGGCTAGCAGATGGCAGGGCTTAGGAGCAACTTAGGGAGGCGTGAGTTCCCAGTGGAGAAACTTCTTCCCATAAACTTGATGTTTTCATAAAATGCCTCTGTCCAGCTCCCTGTCCCATGGTACCCCAAATGAGAGGGGGTACCATGTCCCCACTCTTATTTGGGAGGTGAGAAAGCTGAGGCCCCCAAAGGGGGTGTCATTTGCCCCAGGTCACTCTGCTAGTTAAGGGGCAGGCTTGGGAGCCCAAGGGTCCAGCCAAAGGGAGCACCTACAGTGAGCAATACCACCTTCCCCCCGCCAGGTGTCAGGGTCGGATACCTCTTTTTCTGGGTGTGGACACTGGATTTTCATTTGTTCTGTTTGTTTTAAGGCATCTTTCCTTTCCGCTCAGACCATCTCTGTCTCAAATCCCTTCTCCCTTCCCCCCCGCCCCCCGCCCCCCGCTAACCTTTGCGCCTCTCTCATTACCGACTTAAAAAAGGGTGCCAAGAGGCGGTGCTGCCCCCGGGGAGCCGTGCAGGGGGCCACAGTTCACACGTCGCCTGCAAGCCCAGCCCCAGCTGCATGCTGCAAACTGCCTCCCCCACCTCGCGTCGCGTAGGTGCCACTTTGCCCCAGTATTGAAGGAACTGAAGAGTGGCTCTGGTGAGTTCATTCGTCCTTGCACCACCGGAGTGAGGAAAAGGGTTTTTCTCCCCATTTCCTCAGCTGCACCCTGCATGCAGGAGCTCTCAGTAAGGCAAGGAGACCTGCTCTGTTCCAGCAGAGCGACTGCCCAAGCTCATCATTTAGGGCCCCTCACTTGCTCGGGCTCATTCAAGAGCTAATGTCTTTTTTTTTTTTTTAACAACTTGATATTTTTCTTAAAGGGGACCTCCAAATTCTATCAGCTTCAGGTTCACAAAATTTGAACTGCCTACTTCAAAATCTGGAGCCCTCGCCCTGTCTCCGGACTGTGCAGAGCACAGGGGCTGAGTTCCCCGAGACTGAGATTTCTTAACCCTGGAAAGACCGCCTGCTTTTGGATTGGTAAACTAGCGGATCCTCACATGAGTATCAACAAACTGAGGCTTGAGAAGCTAAGAGTCAACCTGGAGGCTACAGGGAGCTAGAACTCACTCCCCCTGCGTCTCAATCCCTCCCCTGTCCGGCAGCCACTGGCTGTAGCTTCCAGATATAGACAGAGGGGTCTTGCTTGGGGCTTCTGAGGAGCATGTGCATATATGTGTGCGTAGGTGTGCGGTGTCGGGGGTGATGATGCTTGGGCCGTCCTGCAGCCCCAGCTCCTTCTGGTCTTGACCTAGCTTCCCAAGGTGGGCGAGGACAGGAGGAGGGATCCCACCCTTAGAGAACCCCTTCCTCCTCCACAGTGGGTTGGGAGCTCCATTCCCTCCAGAGGGCACCTTAGCCATAGACAGTGATTAAGAAAACATCATTTCCAGGGTGAAATGACATGATATCTGGGATCTGCTTCAAAATAATAGGTATAGGTGGGGATACACATGAAACAAGATTGGCTGAGTTGATCATTGTTGAAGCTGGGTGCTGGGAACAAGGGGTTCCATTACAGTAGTCTCCCTATTTCTGTATGTGTTTAAAATATTCTACAACATAGGTGCTGGCATTCCCCTCCCCCTGCACTGGCAGCCGCCCACGCTTACCTTTGTTGGTTTCACTCTCTCTAATAAGAAAGGAGCCCACATTATTGATTGGAGCCAGAAGCTGCCTCTCGGCGTCTTTCCGGCTAATTGATCTAAAGAACCACCTGGAAAAGGACAAAGGCAGACAAGCCTCAGAGAGTGGCCATGTCACTCGGAACATTCTTACCCAAACCTCCCTCCTAAGCTGTCCCTCTGCCCCCAAGAAATATAATGGGAGTTCCTGTCCTAAAGTTAACCTTGAACCAACGCTCCTCCCCGCGTGACCCATCAAATACCACTTGGTGTCCGTGCTATTTTCTTCCCACTTCTGGACTTACTGTTTTCTTGAAATGAAACAAGAACATTATTTGGGTGCCCTTTGTTAATTTCACTGTGGGACAAGGCACCCAACCACCTACTCTCAGAGCACACCCTCCTTGGGGTTGGGCCTCTGATGCTGACTCTCAGAGCATCATGACCACCAAGTGCCCCCGGCACCTGGACTGGTCAGTGTGGAAGTGTCCCTTGGTCCTGCATGCTGTTCCAGGGAAGGGCAGAGGGCCGGGAGTGCCAGACAAGGAACACTCCCAAGGGCTACTACCATCGCTACAGGAGGGACACCAGGTGAGGCCACTGATCCGGTTTCCGCACTTTGCTCTTGAGTTTGACCGACTCTGAGTTCCTTCGGCGAGGAACCACACCTAACTCATTTGACAGTGTCCCCAGGCCTCAGGCAGAGTCGGGCCCTGGAGTCTGTTTGATCAATGCCTTGTGTGTGAGTTGAATTAATGGCTGAGGCCCGCGGTAGACTGTCCTCCATCCTGGTGCTTTCTGGAAGTGGGTTATGAGGAGGCTGCTCCTCTCTAATCCAATTCTGAATGAGGCCACCATCCTGGGAGCCAACCCCCGCCTGCCCCATGTCCAATCTCCTGAATCCTGCCCGCTGGAGACACTGGAGGAGTGGGAGCTGACCACAGCGCCTCCTTGTTAGCTTGTGTGGCCACAGGACATCAGGGACGTTTCTGTCCAGGTAAGCCAGGAAAGGGATGGTTCCCATTTTACAGTTGGGAAGAGTGTGGTGCTCACAGAGGAGCAACTCCTTTGTATCACACAGCAATTGAAACGTTGTGCAGAACAGCAGACAAGCCTTTCCCAGGAGTTCCAGCTCCCTGCTCCTTTCCTGCCCCCTCCATGCTGGGTTTGCATGGGCTCACTCTTTAGCCACTGTCTGGCCACCCTGCACGCAGCTTGCAGAGTAGAAGCAAACATGCCTCTGTTTTGATGCGTCTTCCCTCTGTTCACCTACTTTTCCACTTCCAGGGTCTCTACTCGGGCCACAAAGTTGCTGGGCACGTATCCTTCTCTTCCCGTGATGAGGGACTTGGCCAGCCACCAGTCTCCAGATCTAAGGGCCGAAGGGAAAAACAAAAATAAGATGCTGGCTCAGACAGGTCTCTCTGGGGCAGCTCACAGCCCTCCATGACCAGGGATTCACAGAGAGACAGTCTGGCAGATAAGAGGGAACTTAAGTAAGTTGCTCAGTGATGCGAGGGGTATCTGGGTTATTTCTAATTCACCGATGTGCCCGGTCGAGGGGAGAAAGGGATGGCACAGCCCCCAGGTGACAGTTCGTCCAGACAGCCTGACCAACCCACTAGGGACCCTGTCTAATAGCGAGTAGCCTTCCTCTTGATTAATGGGCATCTTTAGAATGTAATGAGCAAATTGGGACTGGACAGGAAAGACAGCACAGAAGGGCTGCTGACCAAAGGAGGACCGGGGAAGCCCAAGGGTGGTCAAAAGGTCAGGGTTTTCATGCTTTGAGCTCAAGGTCATTGTAGAATTTCAAGAACAAAGCAGGCCCTCTGGACTCTAGAGGACAATTCAGGTGTCTGAGAGCAGATTCTAGAGGAGTTTCTGGGAAAGAACAGTGGAAATAAGCTATAGCTGATTTTATAAATTGAATCACATGCAAGAGCTCATCTGGCAAGGGAGACAAAAAGAGACACAACTGACTCCAACACAGAGCTGTGATGGAGCGGCTAAGGAAGCACTATGGGTGTCAGGAGGGCTGCATGGAAGAGGTGACTTTAGAGGTGGGCTTTGAAGGAAGAGTAGGATTTTAACAATTTTATTGGGGTGACATTGGTTAATAGGATCATATAGGCTTCAATTATACATTTCCGCGGCATAAGACCTGGATTTTGCACTGTGTGCCCACCAGCCGAAGTCAAACCAGAAGGGTAGGATTTTAACAGCAGAGTAAGAAACCGCTTCACCAGGAAGACTTTGGAGTGGCAGGTGGAAGGTGGACAGTCGGGTCAATAAAGAAAATGCTGGGTAACCGGGCTTGGCCTACGCAATGGAGAAAATCTTGTGGGGCAGCCAGAGGGAGCATGGTGGGGTGGGCGAGGTCAGTGTGGCGTGGGTGGGAGACCTCTGACCACGAGGCAGCGTTCTGGAAACTTACTCTTTTAGGATCTGCAGCTTCTCCCCTTTCAGCACCTGCAGGTCACGGTCATTCACTGCCATGTAGTCATACAGTGCCACCACGAAATGCTCTTCTAGAGGGAACAAGGAAGAGATGGCCACGCTCAGGCCCACTGGGCTGATGGTAGGGGACGAGCTAAGCCTGCGTTGTGAGCCATCTTCTGGCTACGAAGAGGGTCAGGGAAAGGGAAGGACAGAGGGGAAGCCAGGGTGAGCCTTCTTACTCACTGATGCAGAGGAAAAAATTTCTATCTGGCGGACTGATCTCCTGACCTTGATGCTGGGAACAAGGACATACTGCCTCTCTGAGTCCACTGGGTCTTTCCTTCTAGACCCCACATAGAAACCCTAAGGCCTAGACGGGGCTACTGTGTGACGGAGTTGATAGCCAGAGGTTAAGGGAGATCAGCAGACCCAAGTTTGGAAACCAGAGTGGGCTGAGCCCTTACGTCCTGAAACTTACCACACAAGCTGCTTCTCTCTCCCCCTTCCTCTCCTGCCCCTTCCGGTCTCTATTTGAAAGGGGGCAGTGGTTTTGGATGGAACACGGCACCTGTAACTTAGACCCATAGCCATGTCCAGGCCCCGTCATGGTGCTTCTGGCGGGCAGTGCCCCTGCTTGCTGGTGGTCCCTAGATCGGAGGAGGAGAGGGCTCCAGAGCTTGGCATGGAGCCTTTCAAGGGACGACTGCTGGCTGTAACAGCTTTCTGCACTGCTCTGGGGAGCCGAGGCCCTCCTGGAAAAGGTCACCGGGAGACCTGGCTTCCCTGAGAACGGAAGACTCAGCTTTGTCACTAATGCTTGGTGTCACCTTGGGCTAGTCACCTTCCCCGGGTGGGAAGAGGGAGTTGGAACAGGTGACAAAGGCCCCTCTGGTTCTGAGATTCAAATTCTTGTGCCAAAAGCGTTTAGTTTATTTCCTTCCCCTGGGCTTCCTTCCTGGAGATATGCACCCCGTGGCAGGAAGTGAAGAATGGCCCCTGATGCTAATAAATTGGAATTTCCCACGGGATAAGTGATACCAGGTGGGGTGTCTGCGCCTCCCTCGTGAGTGAATTAGTAATGGAGGCCCCCGGCAGGGGGAGGCCGGCCTTCCGGGCGCTGTGGAGGGGAGCTACAGGAGGCAGGGGACGAGGGTGTTCTGCTCTCCTGCCCGCCTGCCCGCCAATTCAGGATGCGGCCTCCACCTTGTGAGCCCCTCTGGAGGCCTTAGCCCCTGACCCGGGAAGGCCAAGGGCAGTTACTCTGTTGCTTCTGCATCCTGCCCACCAAAGTGCAAGTGGAGCCTGGGGGTGAGGGAAGGTGGCATGGGGGGTCAGGAGGTCAGCAGGGGGCTTTGGAAAGTGGGCTGGGACCATGGGGAACAAGACCAAGGGCTGGGAGGGAGGACACAGAACCATGGGTCCTTACCCTTGGAGGTTGGGACTAGATCTTTGAAAGCCTGGGCTTAATGATGCTGTTTGTATTCACTGTAACTCTTGTCTTGTTGTGCTCATTTACAGTTTGTAAAGTCCTTAAAGGAATACCCGCCTAGGCCCAGGTACTCGAAAGAATCGGTGCCGGTTGCTGGAGAGGCCCCGGGGCCGGTGAACTGGGGCAGAGATGGGCCCAGGCCTAGCCGCTCCTCCCTCAGCCTCCCCGGCCTTCTCCTCCCCACCCCTGAGGGCCCTTCCCCTCCTCTCCAGGGAGCCGCTCCCACTGATCCCTGTTCTAACTGGACAAAGTCTGGGCCCGGAGAGGCGGCCTGCGGAGCCTCAGCTTCCAAAGCAGCCCCTTCTTACCTTGATCCGGGTGTGTGTCGGGAGGCTCAGGAGTCAGGTGGTTAAACAGGACCTGGAGCAGAAATATGTGCCCTCGGTATTAGTTCAGCACCCTGCAGCCTGGGCGGGGCCTGCTGGGTGGTGGTGGGGGAGTCTGCTGTGAGCGTGGGGAGCTGCTCTGTTGGTACGGGACACAGGCAACTTCTGTTCCCCAGGTACCAACCAGTGCCATCTTGAGCAGCCCCTGGAACACCTGCCATCTTTGCCCAGACCACATACTCATTAGAGGAGGGGCATGTGTGTGGGAATGCCCCAGCTCTACAACACGCAGCAGTGGAATGGGGGCGGGGGGGTGGTGCTGAGGAGGGCGGGAAGTGCCTGCTCGCCTGGCTTAACATCCTGGCTTAACATCCTGGCTCTGCCATTAAGTGGTGAAGTTGCAGAAGGGTATTTGTTCTCAAGGAAAATTATTTAAAAACTGTATTTCTTAAAACTCAACAAATATACTCCTAGGTATTTACCCTGTTGAGAAACTTTTGCATAGGTGTACCAGGAAACATGCACAAGACTGCTCCCAGCCGAAATACATAATAATACATAATAATTACATAAAAATTATTCAAGCATAGAACTCACCCCTATGACCGATGACCAAAGAAGAGGTAAATTAAGGCAAGGAAACCCTAGACAGCCATGGCAGTTAGTGCGCTATAGCTACATGTGCCCACGTGGATGAAGCTCATAAAGAAAAATGTAGATCTAACACCCAAGTCTCAGAACACATGCTGTTGGATTCATTTGATTTAAAGTTCACAATATGCAAAATTAAACTACATAGTGTTTAGGAACATATGCATATGGAACGATGCATAAAAAGCAAAGCTAAGGAATGACAAGCACGTTTAGAATAGTGGGCCCCCAGGTGAGGGGGACAGACTCGGGGGACAGCAGAGATGTTCAGGGGGATGGGTCACTTTCTACTTCTGAAGGTAGGAGGGGCTGCACTAAGGGTTCATTTTATTTCCCTTCTTTCAACCTGACATATGTGTAACAAGTAATCTTTTTTATTGTATTCCATATTTATTAAACAATTTTGGAGTAGCATTTCACAAAGTGGTATGTATAGGTATGGTTCTGCTGAAACTATAAAGACATAAATAACAGACAGAAAAAAAGTCTGCGGGCAGGAGCGCTGCAGCGCTAACTCAGGTGTTATTGGCTGGTAGGATAATGAGTATTTGTAATTGTTCCCCATAATACATATTTTGTGACTTGTTAAAAGCTAAAAACATTCTGGGCTCTACTGTTCATTAGCATGTAACTTGGAAGAAATTACTCAGTTGAAGTCTGATTTACTCAATCAAATGACTCAATAATTAATCTATGGCCCTTTGGTCATTCATTTATTCCACAAACATTTTATTGGCCAAGCCCTGAACTCAGTTGGGACACAGATAAGATGCCTCGTTTAGCTAAGGAATGGGAGCAGCAATCACCACCCCTGTTAGGTCGGAGTTGGAATGAAGTGATGACTGTTGGATGGGCCTGTGGGGGAAGAGAGGGCAGGAGAGCGGAGTCCAGGCATGACTTCCAATTGCCCCACACCAAAAGGGGGCAGGTGGCCAGGCAAGGGGGGTGCAAACAATCATCTAAAAACGCACTTTTAGGAACCAGTAGCATCAAAGGATGCTAACTACCTTGTAAACAAACCAGAACTGCAAGATAGGCCCCATGAACACATGAGGCCAGCGGGGGAGGTGAGCACAGGCACCCTCCCGTTTTAGGACACCTCATCCCAGGGGGTAAGCCCGTGGCATTCTGGCACACCAGGAAAGGGACAATGATCCAAGAGCTTCCGGCTAGCATTGGGGGCTGCGGATGTTGCTAAATGCTCTAGAATTTTCTCCACCACACCCTTTCCTCAAGCTGACATCTTTGATTTCTCTTCCTCTTCAAGGCTACACTTGCCCAATGAAAACTGGCTAAGACTTGGGAGCTAACCGTGCTCAGTCCTGTGCTAAAGGCAATACATTACAGCATTGCATACTTGCATCTGTATGGTATATTGTTACATCCCTGTCAGAAAGGCTCTTTTATTCTACCCACTTTACAGTTGGAAAAACTGAGGCAAGGGGAGTTAAGAAACCTGCTTTGAAGATACAGCTAACAGATTCACACTTCGGCATTCTGGCTGCTAAACTTTCTACAATACTGCCACACTAATGTGAACTGGGGTGACCCTGGAGGGGGCCTCTTTGTGGGAACCCTGAGTTGATGGCGCTGGGGCTGGCTAGAGAGAAGCGGCATCTCCCAGGGAGCCACGCGTGCTCTGTACTCTCCCTCCTCCCCCTCCCTCTCCAGCTGGGAATGCGATCACTCACCAGGGGTGGCAGAGGTGGGGGCTCTCTGCTCTGGGTGCTGTCCTTCACGGAGCTCCATTGGCCCTTACCCTTCTCCTTGATCTGCTTTTTGCTGCTCACCACTCCCATCCTGTCAGAGAGCACACAGCAGAGTGGCGATGTGAGTCGGTCTTCAGAGCCTCTGCAAGGAAGAGCTCCCCCAAACTCCTTCCGAGTGGCCAATTAGGACGTTGGGGTGGAGGTGGAGAACGGTGAAGTTCAAAGTCAGACACGAAGTCAGAAGGGGGTGGGTAGGTTAAGCTTGCATCCCCCCTTTATTTCCCCAGAGCAGGAAGAAGTGGCCCAGAGAGGAGAAATGACTGGATTTAGGACACAGAGATCGGCTAGCCTGAGGAAACTGCCAGAAACTGCTGGAGTGAACCCCAACGCCCTGGGGACAGGAGCCTTGGCATCTAGAAAGAATCTGACCAATGTGTCTAGTGGCCTGGATTTTAGTTGCCTTTTGCCACTGGTTGTATCGTTCAGGAAAGTCACCTTTTCTTTCTTGACTTGTGTTAGGATGTGTCTGAGGTTCTTTCCAATTCAGAGACTCAGATCAGATGTTATGAATTTAGGGCACAGATAGCACAGGGATCTAAGGCCAACTGCAGCTTTTCTAGTATATTCCAACATTGGGGAATCTTCTTTAGAGGTGAGAGACATATGGTCAAGATTTTTCTTAGGTAAAGAACCACAGGATGACAGACACGGGGAAGGGCCTAGATTCGTGACCCCTGTCACCACAACCTTCGTTCCCGGGGCTGCCATTTAGGTGGGGCTCACCCTTGACCAGGAATGTCATAAGCCCTGTCTCGTACCATCCTTCTGACTCTTTAAAATAAGTGTGAGTAGATATTGCTACTCTCCCAGGACTGTGGTCAGAGGCATTAAATAACTGTTTTACAATCAAACAACTAACAAACACAGAGCCAACTCTGGAGCCCGCGTTGACCCCAGATGACCACACTTCGCCTCACACCTGGCCCCTCTTCAGGAGGCAGACATTCATGGAGGAAAGGACCTGGAGGCCCTGCTCTCGTCTGACCTGCCGTGTGGTCGGGGGTGGATTCCGGATGGCCTGTGGATGTCTGCACCGTATTTCTTTGATTCTGAGATGTACTTTTTTCGTATTTCAATCTCTCTGAAACTGGAATATGTTTTACAATGGATGATGGTTCATATTGTAGTGAACAGCATTTTTTTTCTCTTTTAGTGCTATGTAAAATAAATGCTAACCTTCCAAGGAATGGCGTCTTAGATTCAGTGAAACACGGTACTGCTTTTTTTTTTTTTTTTTCCAGAGAGCTGAAGGTACATGCCTCATATTATTTCTCCTCAAACTCAACTTGAAAAAAGAAAAGACTATAATAATTTGGAATACCGGACAGAGAGCCACAGTAACACATAATCCATTAAGTATTTTTTGAGTGTGCTTTGCATATAGAATATGTAATATTGTACATCTGTAAAAAGAAAAATAATACTTTCTGTATTTAAGGAGTTTCTTTATGTCAGTTCAGATCAGCTTTGACAGCAGATGAAATATAATGCTAAAATTACAGGTCAACATTTTAGTGTTCAGAGATTTTGGGGTGTCAGAATTTTATTTTCTTTTTAATTTTTTTTTGTATTTTTTTACCTTACCTTTTAGCCCCTTCCCTCCAGCAACAACCACACTGTGGCCCATCCCCATGAGTTTTTTCCTTTTTGCTCAGTCCTTCCAAGCCCTAACTGTCCCCTCCCCGCCACTGGCTGTCATCCTGCTCTCCATCTATGAGCCTGTCCCCATGTTTCTTGTTAGTTCAGTTTGTTCATTAGATTCCACATAAGAGTGAAATCATACAGTATTTGTCTTTCTCAGGTGTTAGACTTTTAAACAAGGGATCACGGGTTTATATTAGGGATGACTACTAAATTTTATCAGGTGCCTATTTGGTATCCATTTATGATAGTTTTTCCTTAATTTGTTGATTTAATAAATTATGTTGATAAATTTTCTGGTATCAAAACATCCTTGCATTTTGGAATAAAAGCTGGTCATTGTTCATTAGTCTTTTTGATACATGGATGGGCCCTTTTTGCAACGATTTTATTTCAAATGAGAATCTACATCCCCAAGTGGGATTTGTCTATGAGGAATTAGAATTGAGATGATGCTGGCTTCATAACATATATCAGGGAGGCCTCTGTCCTTTTTTCTTTGGTGTTGAATAGTTTAACAACAGTGGGACTGCCTCTTCTTTAAAGGCTAGATAGAACTTAGCCAGGAATTCATCTGTTCCCAAGGCCCTTTTAAACAGTAGGCCATTAAATACATTTCTAATTTCTTCTACAGAAATATTTCTGTTCAGATATACCCCAGTTTCATCTGTTCCCACTTTTTTCCCTCCTTGCACCATTCTAATGACTTGTGTGACTTATAGGAATCTTTGCTTTCCTCCACATTTTCCAATTTGTTCCCATAAACTTCTACATAGTATTGTCTTATAATTATTTTAATCTCTTTCATCTCTTGGTTGTGACATCTTTCTTGTTCCTAATATAAATTAAATGTACTTTTAATACAAATTACATGTTTAATTGGATAAAATTATCTGAAGATTTCTATGACTGGATAACTTTTAAATTTTGAAAAAAAAAAAAAAAAAGACTACAATCAAAACAGCCTGAAACTGGAATAGGAATAGACAGATCACCGGTGGAACAGAAAAATAAAAATGTGAACAAATCGCTGTACATGTGGGAAGTGCAAAAGATGGCCTTTTAATTCAATGGAGAATTGAGCATTTGCTTTAATAAACAGTATTGGGAAAATGGTTATACAATTGGACCTCTACCTTGTACTGCATTAAAAGATAAATTCTAGGTGTATTAAAAAATATATATAAAAAAATAAAAAAATTTGATTGGAAGAAAATTTATAAAACAACTCATATGATCCATAGTTTGGAGATAAGAATGGATGAAGATAGAATAGACAGAAGGTAAGAGGGAACAAAAAAACACAGTCATACTAAAAAGACAAATTTGTAAATGTTAAAGTTATTACATGGTAAAATAAACTGTCATGAAGTCAGTAGATAAGCAATAGATTGAAGAAAGATTTGCAAAGCAGACAGCAGATAATTCTCTACTTATAATATACACAGAGCTCATGAACATTGACAAGAATTGTGAGTCTAGCATACAATCTACCCGACAGAAAAATGCGTGATTATAAATAGGTAGTTCATCCAGCACAAATCCAAATAGCTAAATATATGTGTAAAAAATGTTAAAATTACTTACTGATTAGAAAATGCAAATTAAGATCATGAAATATCACAGTACATCAATAAATTAGGGAAAAATGAAAAGAATGGTAATACTACTCGTTGACAATAAAGAAAGGGAAAATGTGTTTTCCTACATTTCTGGTACAAAAGTATTTATTAAAGTTATCATCACTTCATCTGTTCTCCACTCCATTTCTAGGATGAAACCTCCATGAGGTCTGAGATCTTTGTTTTATTCATTGTTGAATCCTAATTGCTAAAACAGTGCTTGGCATGGTGTCAGACCTTCATAAATATTTACTGAACAAATAAAATATGAAATATTTACTGAACAAATAAAATATGAAAATATTGTCGGCCTTTTAGAAAACAATCTTTCAAGGTCTATTAAAATTAAGAATTATACATACCTTTTGATTTATAATCTCACTTTATGGAAATCTCACAGAGTAATAAAGCATCATTACATAGGAATATATGAGATATCAATATGTTAATTGCAGCGAAGGTTGTAGCACCAAAACAGAAAAAGAAAAGAAAAGAAAAATAACTTTGTAGTTGCTTACTAGTTAGGGAATTGTTGACTAAATCTGCACTCCGGAAGTCTATAAAATATTATGTCACTATTTAAAAGAATGTGCTAGATCTTCGCCAGTGAGGCTAAGAGGATTTTCTACTACATGCCATTTTGTGAGAAAAGCAGGATGCAAAGAACACAAGATTATCCTGTATTTACATTTAGAAATAGTGAAGAATGAGAAAAGGAAGGCCTGTATAAGCATGTGCTCATGCTTTTATGTCACATGAAGTGCAGTTCGGGAGGATGAACACCAAGTTGTTTACTTTGGTTATTGGCAGAGGAGGTGGAGACAGAAAAGGGGGGTCGGAGGCTCCCTTCCCCCAAAATAGGAAGTTAAAAAAACTGTGTGTGGTGTGGGTGAGAGGGTGGGTGTTCATGCAAAGCAGTGCTCCAAAAAGATATTTCTTAAGAATGTGAATAGTGTTTATCTCAGGACTTCATGTGACTTTTATCTTCTTTTGAATAATTGTATATATTCCTTGGAATTCTTTAATAGTAAGCATTTGTTTTTATTTTTTATCTTTTCATCTTTTACTGATTCGAGAGAGAGAGAGAGAAAGAGAAAGAGAAACATCAGTTTTTGTTGTTCCACTTATTTATGCATTCATTGGTTAATTCTTGTACCTTCCCTGACTGGGGATGGAACCTGCAACCCCAGGGTATCGGGACAACACTCCGACCAGCTAAGCTACCTGGCCAGGGCCATAATAAGCAGAAACATAAAAACAGAATGTGAACGACTTGCCCAGCAACAGAGGGGGATTGAGCCCTGGAGCCAGCCCCAGCTCCTGAGAATAGCCACTGAACGACCTGAAGGCAGCCTGGGCCTCAGGCCTTTCCTGACCTCTCCCAGTCTCCTGACCTGATGAAGGGTGAGCTGGCAACAGCTTCTAGAATTTTCCCAATGTGGACTCCTGCTTCTGCACCTGCCCCAATGACCAGCCCTCTTCGGCCAGCCATATTGCCACCAGTTATAAACTTCCTGTGCAAACATTTATGTTCACTTAAACAACATAATTAAATATTTAAGTAACTTGACGAAGAGGAAAATGCCTAAAATTAAATCATCCACTAGTTATAATTCTTTGTCTTTCAGCTCCTTAGCAGTGTACACACACATGATTTTTCCATGGGTTTTATAAATACCTAGGTGCTCTACAGGTCCCTCCATCTAGGAACACAGGTTCTGACTGGAGACTAGAGTTACTAAGAAGGCCAGGCAATGACTAGAGCCA